TCGTGTGGACGGGACCTCAGTTAGTGAGCTGTTATAAAGGCAGATTCGCGTTCATAAAAAGAAGATGAAACTGGCTTAAAATCGCGTCATTTTTCTCTAACAAAATATTAATGACTACGAGAGAACGACTGGACAACCGACAATTTGACTGACAACAAACGACTGTTTAACTAAAGCAATAGACGGATCGAAAAGCACCAATGACATTCCGAGTCCTCTGATAGCCAATAATATCGATCACGGCTTAGCAGACAGACGACCAATAACATCGCCACTTAATTGTCTGACTAACCAGGTCAATAATGCCACCAACTGACGTGATGCAACACTTTGACTCGAGGGATGTCCAATACACGGCCGGCACTGTAAAGGTCCGTATAATCCATGTTACGATCCGTACGGATCGAATGGACTGAAAAAATTGACATACAGCCCGTAAAGGGCGATTACGGTCCGCTAACTGCATCTCATCTTGACACTGAAGATGACTACCACACAGGTTGTCGAAACGTCAGTTACTGTCAAGAACAGTCCTACTCAGGACTGCGTTCACCCAGACGATCATGCTCAACCTACTTATGAAATGACTCCTGGGCTCTGTTGAGAACGTTTGAACATTCGTGACTGTTACATGAAGTCATGTTTATCAAGCCTCGTTTTGAGTAGTAGTTTTACGGACCTCGTGGTTCGGAAAAGAATAAAACTGATCGAGTTCGCAGAAAAAACTTTGTTGTTCGCTTTTGTTATTACCTTGAGGACTAAGGATTGTGGGCATTAAACCCACTGAGATTTTCGGAACTATTTGGCGTGTACTCGTGTTTTCCACAGTTCAAACCTTTCACAAAATAATAGAGGTCATAATAATGAAAATGTTGTTTGATCAGCGGAGTAGTGATGAAAGAAAAAATTCACCACTGTATAAAATTTTCTTCCAAATAATATGGGTTAGGCTGAGACGTCAGTTTCCATGCTTACACGGACAACCACTTTAGCTTGGTTTCCAGAGAGGTCTGTAAACTTTTATTCGGTGTTGTCAAGAAAGATTAATGAGACATTAGGGCCATTTATACGAGGATAAGATAGAGAAGACGCGTCTTAGCTAAGACGAGAAAAACTTCGTATAAATGACCTTCGCGTCTTACATAAGACGCGAACGCATGGTACGCACGCGTTAATTTTTGGCGGGAAAATTTTCGCGCCTTGTTGGTTGCCGTTGCTACGGGCAACGTTCACATGATAACGAGTCAAGAACAGAAATAAGACGCGAACCATTTATACCAGCTGTTCTCGTTTTAGATAAGACATGCTCGTATAAATGGTATAGTTCGCGTCTTATTTAAGACGCGTCTTATTTTCCCTCGTATAAATGACCCTATTATGCTCTCTTGATGTGTCGCCAAAACAAAATTCTGCATTCGTTTTGAGACAGTCACGCGTGCACTTGATGACTTTTCAAACAATAGATTTAAGAAATGGCGGACGTTCCAAGAATTAGGCTTCCGTTTCATACAACCTCTTAAAATAACTTTGGTGAAATCCACGTATCCCACGGGCCAACACCCTAAGATATCCTCAATCTCTAACCCATTGATCTCTCTTGGAAAGATTCATATCATTGCAGCAGTTATCCTCTTCATTCTCGATAATCTCGCGTTCCGAAATTCATCTGTCATTGCTACTCCCGAATATCTTTTTCCTTTCCCAATTCCGCATCCCGTACCCAAATTTTGGCGTCAAATCCCGTATCCCTTTAACCTTTCCCGAATCCCGCACTGTATTTTGGTCAAATCCCGGATCTCGGGTATACGCATCCAGCCCGGACAGTTAAGCTCTCAGTCTGTCCTCATCACCGTGCACTTGTTGAAACTCGACCAGCTGTTCGAAGGCCGATTTCTGCCCTTAACCCGTAGTTAACTTTAACACTGGTTTCTTTTTCTTGTGTTCAAAAGCATTTTCTCGGATAGCTTTCTCTGTTATTTTTAGAGCTTGCAATCATCAACTTGTAAACAAAAAAAGTTAAAACTGAAGTGCCTTTTAAGCTTTCCTGCGAATCTCCCACTAACCCTGGGTTATCTTAACCCAGCTTTGAACAACTCGGCCCTGATCAATTGTTGCTGAGTCAGAGTGAGATGAGAGATTACGAAAGTTTATTCGAGGCTTTAAGGAACAGGGCTATTTTGATATGCTCTGTCTATAATTAATAACTAATACAAAAGTGTGCAAGATGTTCGACAATCCCGCACTAACACTGTAAGGATCTAGTCTACCTGCCTTGTCTCGGATGAGCCTTGTAAATTTGGCCCAGCCTTAAATAAAAATACCTGATTCAACGGTCTTCAAAGTAAAGACCTGATCAAGCGATCGTGGAAATCGCAATACCTATAATTATGCCAGTTCTTCGGGTGTTAAAAAAAAACCGGTTTCTACATGTTCCATGGCCGTGCTTTTTTTCGTCTTTTGCTGTATGGGATGCTTACTATAGTCTCACGGCTTCACTCCGCACAGAAAACGGCGATAAGGATCGCAGAATTTATATAAAAATACAACGGATCGGAAACTAGAGTTTGTAACTGCAGATGGCATAAACTTACCAGATCAAACCGGTCTGTGTTCCTCACTAATTTCCTCCAAGACTGAAAAGATTAAAACCATTTGCTGAATTGGTTCACGAGACCGAGTTTAAAAATGTTGAGTCACAACTGAAACGCGAAACCAAAGACTGTAAAGCTAAAAGTTAAATTAAAATTTATATAGCATAAATAGCATACTCTTTAAATACCTGTGAGTGATGTGCATATTGTCGTGCATGCATTAAACAGCTTAATTAAAACCAATTTTCCGCCTACACATTTTAGCTTCAGTGCTAGCAACCCTCATTAATGTTGAGAAAAACGGTCTAATCTGGCGGGGTGGTACTCCTATATAAACAAGCATAGCAGGTGGAATTATTATTCCAGGGGTACTTACAATTAACAGCGGAGCCGGAAAATTATTCCTGTCACATTTCTTATGAGTTCTGAGTAATTTTAAATTGGATTTGTTTTCTGAATATTCTTCTCGCGACTTTGCCGCTAAAAAGACGAAGCACTCGCCCGCAAATAATCACGCCAGCTACGCAGGCCACTGCCATATTTAAGCCCTGTCCACACTAATGAATACATTTCGATGCGTCAAGGTCCTCCGTCCACACTGATTCGCTGAGCGTTTTCATGGAAAACGCATCAATTTGAAAACGGTCTTGAAAGTTGATCAAAACGAAAACACATTCAGATCGTATTAAATACGATCTGTATGCGTTTTCGTTTTAAGTGTGGACAGTCATCCATGAAAACAGTCGAAAACGCATCAAACTGAAAACGATTACCGAAATATGGCAGGCACGTGTGTTTTTAGCAGGCGCATAGAATTCAACTTACGTCACAACAGGCAATTCTATCGTTTTCTAGCGTTTTAGCGCGGACAGTCGAAAATGCATCGAAACGGAAGTGTGGACGCGAATCAATCGATGCGTTTTCAATGACAATGAAAACGCGCCGCATACTTTTGAAAACGCATTTTTGAGTGTGGACAGGGCCAGAGGTTGTATGGAAGTTGAAACAGGGTTTTGTGAAGGCGGCCGTAAGTATAGCTGTCCGATTACGAGCGTGTCCGTTAGAGTGCTTCCATCGGATAGGAAGTGGTTTTCGATATCGCGAGCTGCGTGGTCCGGTATCCTGTATGGTATTTTGGTCCTGTTTGGTACTTATGCGGTAACTAAAGTCACAGCACCGATGACCAGAAAACTGAGTTGTTAAGGGTAGTCAAGAGCCATAATGGCCCATTAGGGCTCTTGGGTTACTTAGTACAATATTCATCCCTGGGTATTGTTATTCATGACATTATAATAGGTAAAGGAAAGTCAATCTGACCTGGGACCAACCTAGGACCAGCCCAAGACAGACTGAATTGAATACATGAATAGGTAATCTGGAACCCGACTTACTCGCTGGGGAGGGTGGGTGGGTCGCCAACCGCCTTCGTGTCAGATAAAGTGAAGTGAATGGGACAATGCATGCCAGTGTTTCCTATTATATATATTATACTCATTTGCATATCATTAATTAATCCCCAGGGATGATATTTACAATTCAGATGGACTTGAATAGTGTATTTATAAACAACTCATTCAGCTTTGCACTTAAATTCTGTGGTTTCCAGAATTTTTGCGTAAGGTTAAGAAATCGTCGACCATTTTCAGTCTAAACTTTACCCCTTGATCTCAAAGATATCGAAGGAAAGAGAAAAAACGCAAACGCACCCTCATGATTTAAGAAATATAATTGTGCGGAAAACTTGTTTAATTTGAAGAGTGCGCAAGATCCCGTGCCTAGAGAATATGGTGTGTAAGTATTTTTGGAAACTTCATGAGGATTCTGACTGTCCGGCGGCAGGCTTTCCGTTCCCCTGCTAGGCTGGCACTTAAATTCCGTGCATAATACCGCTGTATCCAGCCTGGATACCAGAGGTCTTTTTCGCGTTTGCGGCGAGATCGCTTCGGTGTCGGCAGCAGGCCGACAGATCTTCGGCCGATAGCCGAAATCACGAGTGGCGAAACCGCGAGAAAAACCGAAGCCGGGACCTGCGCATGAAAAGTCTCTGGGACCAAGGGTACCCTGGAGTTATACTCTCCATTAATAAATAATCATTTACAAACAAAGACAAAACGCTTTTAAAAACTACAAGGGCAAGTTTTTATTAAGCCCTATTTAATTTTTTGAGATACAAAACTTTACTTATAAAAAACTATTGCTCAATATATTGGTTTAAAATTAATGTATAAAAACTGTTCTCTCTAGACTGGAAAAATTGTACTAGTGCATAAAAGCATCTTTTAACCTAATGCTCTTTAAAATGGTTCATGTTATTATCCAAACTTGTCAAGTTAGCCGGTTCAGCTCTAAACATTACTATATCTGAGCTTTTTGTGAAAGCTAGCCCAAATCGTGCATAGTCCCGTGGGTCTAGCCAAACAGCTCCAAAAACTCCATACACTGTCGCTCCTCTAATCTTTCCTGTCCGCTACGTTTACGAAGTCTCCTTGTATCTCGGTATATGATGGCTTCCTCCCACGGAGTCCCCTTCAGTGATGTCTCGCGATCAAATGAACTCTCGAAGTGGTCCCCCGCGTTCAGAACAGCCATGGGGTAAGCGAATCTAAGTTGCGCTCGTTCGTTTAGGCCAGATTTCACTTTTTCTGCCGTTGAGAGTAGCTCTTTTAACGGTGATAAGGGTCTGGTACAAGCCGCACAATCATACCACGTCTTGGACTTCGAAACCGCTATGCGAGCTTGTATACGAGGACATTCTTCTTCTTCTTTTGCAGACTGGAATGTTTTATGTTCTTCTAATAATTTTCGTCTTAATATTTGATGTTCCATGACTGATTTTCCCGTTAATGTCCTCGGCGCACTGTGGCTCATGACAGTTCACAGACAGTGTCTGCAAGTGTTTTGCGCTCTTGAGTAACTCAGTTTATTAGTTCTGCAGAATATAAAGTTTCATGCTTTGTTTATTACGAAATTGCTTGAAATTAACGTCAATGACTTTAGCAATCACCCTTTCAAATTGCCCTTAAAACAAATGAGTTTATGCACCTGCGTTCCAAAAAGTTTCGTCTATCCTTTCTTCAACACGTGAATACCGGGGTATGAACAGCGGAGGCACGTGTGATTACACAAAATATAATAATGAGATGTCCTGGAAACGAAATGAGACCGGCGGGGTAAGGGGTAGACAAGAAAGCAGCAAGCGAATGATTTTCTTAAACCTTTCTTGCGAATCATTCATATATATTCAACAGAAAACTGTTCACTCAAATTTCGCAACGGCCCGGCTTAACAGAAACTATCGTCGCATGAGGGGAAACCCCTGCAAATGGATCACCTGCGAATTCTTGAGTTTAGAGTTTCAACAGTTTGCAAGGTAAATTATGCATTATCAGAGAAAGATATTCTACCACGATAACTTCGAATTCATTAAGCTCTGTCACAGTAATATAAAAAACTGATATACATAGCTAGCCTTTTTATAGTTTCTCTCTAGAATCTATACAGTAGCCTGGGACTGGTCTGTTTTGTAGAAGTCGGAAGGTCCCGTTTCAAGTCCAGTTAACGCCCCTTTTAGTTCTTTGCGTTTATGTTTAACTCGATCGATCCCAATTTTTGCTGGCTTCCATGGATTGAATTTAATTTGTAAAAATTAGATCATGATCAGTTCCAGGCTGGTTTGGGCAACAGACCTAGGGGGACGAAACATTTAGTAGCCTTCGATTCACAAATTTAAAAAAGCTTTGTTCCTATTTTGAAAAGCTGGCGAGAAATAAGCTAAGCACTCCTCATTAGTTTACCCATTTCTTTGATCAAGAAAACTTATTTTAATCCACGCGAGGCAGTTGAAGGTGTAATGGGACTGATCGACGTACGCTGACACGTTTTATAGGGGTACACGGTACAGTCGTGACTAAGGTTGAATTGGGAGTAATGATCCAGGGTTGAGGAATTTGGACCGAAATAGACATGAGTGAAAAGTGTTCTCTTTCGAGTCCTTCTCAAGATTTTAAAATCGCTCGTACGGATTAACCCGACACGACCTAAGCTCTCAGCTCAGTCAAAGAAAATCAATATGTAATGTGACAGATCGACTAGCTCGCTTGCAGTATGTAGTCATGTCTCCTTCCATTAGAAGGAGTCAATAGAATCGGGATGAAAACCCATTGATATTACTAGACAGGTTTTATTCCATCTTCTTGCATTTCAATGACTTTAATTTGCACGCGTATGACTAGATTTTACTTGAACATTTTTTAAAACCCATGACTAGGTTAACGCTGTGAAAGATATGAATTAAAATGACGCTTTGATAAGAAATCACTCGCTTTTTAAAGCCAAGTCAGGACAATTTTTAGTATTTTTATTATTATGGTTTCAGTCTTCGGACCGGCACGACGCTTCAAGAAAACCGAAATCCTCACCTAAAAAGCCAGTATTCTCACCTACGAAGTGCGGGACAGAAAAGCTTTGTTTGAACAATACTTCTTTTTCACGTGAGACAATGAAATCCAAGGACGATATTATTGCAGTACTTCTTCCACAGCTTTCCTATTTAACTATAAAATAATCCCCTTTAGCAATAATATTTTACTCTAGATCATGTTTCTGTTCAACCCTAAATAAATTATTTAGTGCTGGTCAATAACCTAAGCAAACAGATGCCCACACCTGCTTCAACTTCTTTGGAATTTAAGACATCGATAAAACGTGAGAAACTCGGTTGGAAACAACTCTCGCGTGACTGAGGGCAAGGAGTCTTCAAATTCAGTTCAGGATTCAAATTGCACTCGAAACCATGTGTTATACATGCATAATAAAACGCATCTATTTTCACAGGTGGAATACGACATTTTCACATTGCATCTCTAATGTGTCGCCGGCAGATTCGCCTTTTTATTCAAACCCATGATTAAAAGGAAATAAAAATCACGAAAAGCGCAATTTTTTTCGGCAGAAAAAAAGAAGAACGAAGAAATATCAAAATTGCTCACTACACAGTACTGAGAGAAAATACACCAGTATTGGTAAAAAGCCTCACGCATTGAAAAACAATCAAAATTTAAAAACGATTTATAAATTAAACTGAAGACAGAAAAAAGTTTGTGAAAAAATCGTATGTTCAAGAATTTCCAAGGTCCCACCGCAGTTTTAGTTTTGACGATTATATAAGCTACAATATAAATGTATTTACAGTTTTTGAGGCTTTTTCTCAAGCGCACCAGTCTGAAAGAGATAACAAGACGAAAGCTATCAGTGTTTACACTATGCCGGATAGCTCTTGCACCGGTGCGAAAACCATACCGGATTCGGCTAGCTTACTGTGGACGGTGATTTCGGCGCGATTTCTGTAACGGAGCAAAGCTCCGCCGCGCCGATCTCCGGAAAGTGGAGCGTCACAGATCGGATAGGCTTTGTACTACACTTTGGTGTAGGGCGAGCTGGTGTTCGGACCGTAGCGGAAGTTAAAAAGTAGGGAAGAGGACTGTCACCCACTGAGACGGAAGTAGATATTCAGGAGTGTGGACTGGGATTTAGTGCACTAGACCCTCTCAGCCAACCACTCCGCCAAGATGTTCGATGTGTGTGAACGACGTCTTCAAATCCTGGACAGTCCCCATGTTAGATTTTTGTGTGGACACGGTAGTGTGAACATAACCTTGATACCTCCAACACGTACAAAGTTTATTCACTATAATTAGTAGGCTTCCAAATAGCCCACGTGGCAGGCGTTTATGAAGGGGAATTTTCCCTTTTCCTTCCCCTTCGAACACCTGCTAACTTCCAAATTACTTCTTTTCCACCGACAATTTTAGAGTCCATGTTTTGCATAGTGTTGTTATTTGATAGTTCTATTTTCCTACCAGCTTGATTTTCGAAGTGTGTTACAAGCACAATTTACCTAATTGCTTTCATGATTTTCAACAGGACAACTGACCTCTGTATCGCCGGCCCAACCACGTTTTTTAGTCCAACTCAGANTACGACATTTTCACATTGCATCTCTAATGTGTCGCCGGCAGATTCGCCTTTTTATTCAAACCCATGATTAAAAGGAAATAAAAATCACGAAAAGCGCAATTTTTTTCGGCAGAAAAAAAGAAGAACGAAGAGATATCAAAATTGCTCACTACACAGTACTGAGAGAAAATACACCAGTATTGGTAAAAAGCCTCACGCATGAAAAAATAATCAAAATTTAAAAACGATTTATAAATTAAACTGAAGAGAGAAAAAAGTTTGTGAAAAAATCGTATGTTCAAGAATTTACAAGGTCCCACCGCAGTTTTAGTTTTGACGATTATATAAGCTACAATGAATGTATTTACAGTTTTTGAGGCTTTTTCTCAAGCCCACCAGTCTGAAAGAGATAACAAGACGAAAGCTATCAGTGTTTACACTATGCCGGATAGCTCTTACACCGGCGCGAAAACCAGACCGGATTTGGCTTACTGTGGACGGTGATTTCGGCGTTATTTCTTTAAAGCCTGGTTTGTTGTCGGGAAAATTCCAGACGATCGGGGATTTTACTGTTTCCCGACTGTCCCAGATTTTGCCGACTAATGAAAACTCGAAATCGTAGATATCCCTGATCGTCTGGGATGGACGGAGACAAATCTGGAGAATCGGGAGCGTTTCTATTTTCCCAATGCGTCCCAGATTCTGCGATGGTGTGCGATCATTCCCGACAAATAAAAACTCAAATTTGTACCGAAAGGGGACGTCGGCGATGGATTTCGCTCATTACCAATCTCCTAAATTGCTGGGCTCCAGTCCTCCTATCACAAATAAACATGCCGTCTCTCGAGAATCTGGGACAGACTTCTGGCGATTATCCGATATATCTGCAAAATCTGGTATATGGTCGGCAAAAAATTAAAATCCTCGACCGTCCGGGATTTTCCCGACATATGAAAACCAGGCTTAAGGGAGCAAAGTTCCGCCGCACCGATCTCCGGAAAGTGAAGGGTCACATAGTTGATCATTTGAGGTCTCTAGGTAACTGACTACCTACCCCTCCCCCAAGTGACAATTTTGCTCTAAGAGAGAACTAAGTGCTAATGTTGACTTAGGGGAGGGATGGTCAGTTACCCCGAAACCTCAAATGATCGGGAGTAGCGGGGCTAAACTAGGACACCACCTGTGGACACTTTTAACCTGAAGCTTGCGTCGCCAGACAAACTGTATTGGGGGTGGGTACAGAGCTAAGGCCGGGTACACAAAGACACCATTAGGGAGTTTCCTACAGGTGTGGGCTGGTCGGTGTACGATAGTTTTGAGCACCCCCCCTTCCCCTATAATTCTGAGAGGCAGCTTGCTCGACCCAATTATTAAAGACAATTTTGATGCAAACTAGGATGGCGTGTTTTGTTATATATGCTGAATCGCCTTAAACAAGACAATTTCGCTGCTCGTTTATTCCTTATTCATTTTCGGTGTATTTCGTGTTTTGACAGATGTCACAAGGTTGGTTATTTCCTTGACATGTAATTTAGCATTTCTTGAATTAGGGTAAAAAGACTTCAGTTGCAAACACATCGACACCCGCTGAAAAACACGACAGCTTTATAACATCAACTTTAACAAAAATAACATTCTAAGTTGCTGTTCATGGTTACTATCCTTCCGGTTCCATTTACTCTGCATGTGCTTATGGAGGTCCAAAGTTCTTTAATAATGGACTCGTCACTTGATATTCGTGCGTCATCTTGTTTTGTTTTAGTGTTTTTTCTTTTGGACACTTTCTCAACAGTCTTGAAAAATGCGTGGTAAAACTGTCGCGAAAATTTCAGGTAATGTTTTACTTAATGGAAAGCCGACAACAAGGAGGT